TACTCAAATTATTATATATTATAACATTATTGTTCCCATAAATCACAGTAATGGCGCTTTACTTTATGGTAAATTGATCTGTATTTGCATCGCTAAATTTTATTATTATTGTTGAACGTGTATCTTTTAGAAAATGATACTGTAGAAAACGCGCGAAGCGTTGTCTTTTGTGTATTTTGAAGGTAAAGGGCGCATGGCGTATTACAATTCACGTTGCCCGTTCATACCAGCATATATATAATTATGATCTGCTTACTGGCTACCGTTGTATGAACCACTACACTATACTTTACTATATTATACTATATAATATGCTATTACTGCTGCTTTGCAAGAAGGTGGTCATATTATCAACGAGGCTTTACCTTCGTTTCGTTATCTACATTTCCCGGTCTGCCTACGCACCCTCTCTCCCTCTCTCTTCCCCGTCCCACTCTCCCCCCCCTCTCTCTATATATATAATAATATATGTATGTATACATAATATGCAGTCGCATGCACATAATATATGGTCGAGTAGTTACCCAAGTATGCGGACACAGATACACCTATCTACAGATGGTTAAACGGAACGATAGACAGAGAGTCAGAGGATATATAGATGGATTAGGAACGGGATAAGAGAATGTGCATAGGGCGGACAGACGGGCGGGTGGCCGGAAAGATGGATGGTCTAATTAACGGACGATCAGACGGACGGAGGGATGGATAGATGGATGGATGGATGGATGTAGGGTCCCATAGCCTAAACAATTTACCATTGTGTGCTGTAGATGGAGCTGTGCCCAGGATTTGGTGTGTACAACCCAGGTAGCCAGCGGTGCGAGGATGAAGAGGCGGCAGTCAACGACGTCTGCGGTCATATACCGCCTTCTCAGCTAACCGCCGCCCTTGACGACGTCAATGTGGATGCTGGTACGCTAGACACGGCCGCCTCGCCACTGTATTTACGTTTCGAATGTTTATTATTGCAATTATTATTATTATTAATAATAATAATAATAATAACATTATTATTATTATTATTACTTTTATTATTATTACTGCTATATACATTGGTGTCAGGACCTTTGTACCAGTTATGCAATGTTTTGCAGAACATATTCAATTACGTCTATACGTCAGGTACTATTCTGTGTACAGACTAATGTATTTAATTAAAGCAATAGTAATATTTCCAAAAAAATATGAAATGTTACCACACAGCTATCGTAATAAATATTCGTTCGCATCGGTTTGCTTGCGAAGCTGTGATAATGATGCGCGCGCGTGCGTGCGTGCGTGCGTGCGCGTGCGCGCGTGCGCGTGTGCGTGTGCGTGTGCGTGTGCGTG